TTAAGTAGATAGGTAATAATTATGTTTAATGGTAATTTAATAGTCAAAACATAAATATTATAAATAGGTACTTATTAGGCCAGTTAGAAGGTTTTGAAGTTAAACAACACCTAGTCAACAAATAATTTCTTGTTAGAAAAACAATAAATCAATAACACAATTTCAGATGCACTAATTACTAATATTAATAATTAGATACATAAAATATGTAATCAATAAATTATAAAACAGTTTCATGTTGTCTTTTTTTTAAATTTAATTTTTGAAAAGTTAAAAGTATTTAAAAAATGTTGAAATTTTTTTCTATTACTAAACGATTTAATGAACGTTGTATTTGGTATAATGGAAAGAACGTAACGACTTGCCCTCAGAATTATTGTTAAAATTCAATTTTATAATATTTACTTTTACTCTAGAACTAAAATTGAGTGACTTCTACTCAGACTGCGTATTTACGCTTTTTGTCTATGTCGTACGCGTGTAAGACAACACATGTAGGTGATACATTCTCTTAAATGGTGTTTTTTTAGATGAGTAATAATAATTATTGTTACACAACGTACTACAGGCGCGTATCCAGAATTTTATTTCGGGAGGGGCTGAACAAAATGATCAACATAGTCACACAATAAAATAAAAAAGTGGTAAAGTGGATGTCGCTCTGCTGTACAGTAGGTACTGTAATGGATGGTGTAAAATTTGAATTCAATGATATAATATCATTGTATAAGAAAAACGATTCTAAGCGAAAACGGTCAGTCAGCCTATGATATTATTGTGAATAAAGTAATTTATATATTTACCTATTTACGTAGACCATTGTTTTAAATTTTCAATCCTTAACTATGAAAGTTGAACATTTTATAAATTTTTAATTACAAAATATTTATTACATTTTAAATTTGATAAATTTTGTCAAAATTCGAACTTTAAATGATTATAAGAAAAAATTGAGCCTATGTATTTTTAATATTTTTCAACTAATATTGTTACAATATATCAGGAGCCTTGAATTAAATTTTCACGCATTTTTACCCAACAAAAAAATTTTTATTGATATTTATAGAAAAAAACTAAGAAAAATGAAAACTGTCAATGTCCTTAAATAGCTCAAAAAGAGGCAAAATATTTTCAAATTTTTTTGGTGTGTAAAAAATGAAAACATTCAGAAAAATTTTAAGTTTTGTGATTTTTCCGTATTTTGTCAAGATTCGAACTTTAAATGCTTATAAAAAAAACTATGACTAAGGATTTTTAATATTTTTCAACTGCTATTGTAACAATAAAGCAGGAGCCTTGTATTAAATTTTCAAGCTTTTTTACCCAACAAATAAAGTTTTATTGATATTCATATTTTTTGGATGTTCTTGAAATTTCAGGGGGGGGCTGCAGCCCACCCAGCCACCCCCATAAATACGCCCCTGACGTACTATTTCCATACGTGACGTTAGGGACGTATAAAACAAATTATTTGCAAATTACAACGAAACCTTGAATTTTCCATGGTAAATCTATTCATTTTATTAAAAATAAAATGCTGTAAAACGCACTAAATCCAAATTTTATTACATAAAACGTTGTGCGGTACGACTTGAATAGTTGGATCTATTTCTATATCAAGCCAAAACGCGCATTGTCCTATACAATAAATATAGCAAACGAAATCAAAGCAATCACAAAGAGTATATTATACTATTTTGGGTTGTCTTCAAATGGCTTATTATTAAGCTTTTCTATAATATTTGCCTTTTGGTATTGAAATTATCCATCAAAATTAATCGAGTGAATTAATTTGAATAATTATTAATTTATTCACCACTATAGGTACATTTGACAACATTTTTTCATTATGATGGTCATTGGTATAGGAAATTGCGCCAAAAGTGCAATTTATTTTCACTTGCACACACTATTATTATGATGGTGATTATTCAAACTTCGACTCAAAAACCTTTTTTTACTTGTTCTTATGAGTTATCACTTAGTCATAATACTATGATAATGTATGTTTCCTATACATTTTTTAAATAAATATTTATTTATTTATTATAATTTCCAAGGCCCGAAGGCAGAGAGAAGGGCTACAGTTTTAGTCATAAATGCAATGATATAACCAATTGATTCAATAATATAATATACAATATACATGATGTTTTAAGAGGTTAATATTATTATAAAACAAATCAATAGTATTCATAATAAGTGTGTTATTATGGCTTAAGGTTTATTGGGCTATTTATTATTAATAGTATTCCATATTTATTAATAAGATTGAGCACATGAAAGATTAAAGATAAGATATCTCCAGATATTCTTTTAATTTGTTTTTAGTTGTTTTTTATGGTAGAACATTATATTCATTTGTATTTAATACACCAATCATTAAACGTGAACATAAATTAATAAGAGCAAGTAACTCAAGTAAATAAATACAACAAAATACCATGGTAGTTGAAATAAAATTTAAAAAAAAATATAGTAAAATATGGTTATTTTATTATTACATTAATTATTGGTAATTTCAGGTGTCTAGATATAACTATCATTGACTCTATAATATAAATTATAATAATATGGTATTATTATCACCAGAAAAATTAAAAGTTTGTGATGTTGAGGTACAATGAATTTATAATAAGTCAATATAAAAGTTCGAAATCAACAATTCCTAGAAATAATGCGTTATGATTGAATATATAGAATGCAAAATGACCTTTATCTACTTATCACTTAAAAATGCACTATATTATGTCTATATATTATTTATGAAATAGGACGTTATCAATTATCACACAATTCATTCATTTAAATTATAAATTACGTCACAAACTTTTTCTTATTTTCTTTTCGGATCGAAAAACAATAAAAAGATTGAACCCATAAACCTAAATACGAACGGATAAGGTACGTACATTTATATATATTACAGTCTACACATTCAATCCTTTTTTTATTTTTGTGTCAACCCGTTATATCGTGATTTTAAGAAAATACTTAAAATATTATCTTATGATAATATTTATTTGACTGTACCTATTTTGTGATTTATGACTTGTGAGTATTCATATACGACGTATACTATACATTAGCATTTAATTTATTTATCTTTATTATTCTTATGTTTTTACGTTTTGACTACCATGTTTCGTATTAAACAAGGTTCAACAGCGACAATCGCTTGTTGTTTAAATTTTTTATTAATTTAATGAATGTATAGAATACATGTACTCGATTAAAGACTATTTATAGTATTTTATTGAAAATAAAATATATTAAAACTATAAATAACTGAAAGAACACAAATATTTCGGATAAGAATACCAGGAAGGTAATACTTGATAGTTTAAATTTTGTTCACGTTATTAATTACTAATTGTTAGGGTAAGGTCTGTATGAAAGAAAATTTTTGGAAAATCTATACAATTTAAAACACTCGACCCTTTTTTTCGAATAATTGGCATTTGTCTAGTACTCGTATTCTAAACTCGACTCGACTCGAAATTAAAAATCCAATACTCGTCCAACACTAGTTATACTAACAATACTAATTATTTATTGACTACCTACTGAATTTGTTCAGCATAATATTATTACAACGATTATTAATTATAGATATTTACTTTTATTTTACATGCATAATATTGTGTAGCAACTCTGAATTTAGCGAAATGTGTTTCTTCTTACTGGTTTATTAATCATGTACATTATATATTATAGATAATTATAGATTCATTTTTATGATAGTAATGATTTATTCCAATAATTGTGATTCATAAAATCATAAAACGAATTTGTTCTTGTACAATACAAGACAATTTTTACGTCGGAGATTTGAACTACTATCTCTTATTAAAACGAAATATTTTATTTCTCAACCGAACACTTGTTGAACACTTACTATCAAAATAAGTTTCCATGAATGTCGTACGTAATGTTTTCCAAAATATAATATTGTAATAGCACAACAGTGTACGTTTGATGAAGTGTTTAAGAATAATTAGCGTTGTTTTGTGCATCCCTAAGGCCTGAACAGCCATTAAGACGACGCTGAACACTAACCGCTTTTGGTCATGATGCAACCGATGTCCCGGTGTTGTTGCAGTTTCACGTTATCAGGTGTCGTCGATTGAAAGAGAGTAACAAGGTCGTGTTTGTATTTTCGAAGTCTCCTGTAAAACATCCACATTTGGGGGTTCTTCAGTGGTAGGTATATAAACGGCAGCTATTGTCTCCATGAGCATAGTCTGAGTTTAGTCTCTCGCAGCACACAAACTCACAAATCAAATAGTAATACTCCAACAGTAAAAACTATATTATTCCTAAAATAATATATCTTATACACCTTTAAACGACACGACGACCAGCGAAGATATCAGCTATGAATTCCATCCAAGTAAGTGATTATTGTCTATGACAATTATAAATATTTATAGGCTACTTTAAATTAATGTCGTCATTGTATCTTATATTATGATAGGTGAATATACATAGAACAAAAAAACATATAACAAGCTTCAAATATAAATTTCAAATTTCAATATAAATATGAAAACGTTCATCAACTATTGTCTCTTTAAGTATTCAAATATTCAAATTATGTTAATTTTTTTTTACAATATCCTTTAATGCATTTTTTGTATGCTTAAAAAAACAGAATATTAAGCCTGTTATGGTCCATATTTAAACCATGATTATAATAATATATTGAAGGGAGGAAATTTATGTTATCTGGTATTGGACTTTGGCCCTCCTAGACTGTAGCCCGTTCATGAATATTGACCCACTAGACATGGTTCACTTATTTTATATTTCAGCGTAATCATTGAATTTTTATAATATTATCATAGTACATAATTATTAAACCTTCGGGACGTAATTTTCTAGTAGATGTTACTTTTTTGCGTCCCTTTACTATACTATAAATTATTTTTCCAAATCGATCTTTGACGTATTGTTCGTATGTATTTTAGGTATGTTTGGTGTTGGCGGCGAGTTGCGCTATGTTGGCTTCGGCCGATCTGACGTCGTACAAGTTGGGATACAGCTCTAACGACCTGGGCACCGTCGAGCTTGACGCACCTGCACTAGGTTTAATCAAAGACTGCGACCCACTGCCGTCCAGTTACCTGGTCACCGGTTCCACACCAGCGCCGCTCATGCGCACCGCGGTCGAAATCGAACCAGCTCGCATCATGTCCATGACCCCGTCACCGATCATTTCCACAGCCTCCGAGTTCGTCTCCGTGTCCACCCCGGCACCGATCCTGCGCTCTGCGATTGATATCGAACCCACCCGCATCATCGAGTCCGCTCCACTGAAGTTGGAGTCCAAAATCATGGCTAGCCCATTGTTGAGCGCTTTCCGTCCCGCACTCGCAACTTTTGACTCGACTGCGTGGCAGGCCAGTTTGGAAAACGCTTCCCCGGCCCCGATAGCCTTGAAGACGATAACCAGAACCGCGAACGTTGAACCTACGATCATCAGCTCGGGATTGACAGCTTTGCCCGCCGTCCGCACCCAATACGCCTTAGCCACCGCCGCCCCGCAAGTCGAGTCCAAGATTGTTGTACATAATTCTGCTCCGATCGCCAGGCCGTTGTCCACCCGAATCTTGCCACTGCCATCCATTTCTTCGTCATACTCGTACGCCCCGAAGACATACGCTTCTTCATACCTCAACTCGTACACAGCACCTCAATACTATTCAAGCGCATCTAAATTGTTAGCTGCTCCCCAGTACTACTCGTCTGCTGCATCCTACGCACCTCAATACTACTCGTCTGCTGCATCCTACGCACCTCAATACTACTCGTCTGCTGCATCTATCGCACCTCAATACTACTCGTCTGCTGCATCTATCGCACCTCAATACTACTCGTCTGCTGCATCTATCGCACCTCAATACTACTCGTCTGCTGCATCTATCGCACCTCAATACTATTCGGCCGCACCCAAATACTCATCCTTATCAGTAGCCGCCGACGAACCATGTGACAAATAGACTTTCCGTCGGTTTTTAAAACGTATACAATCCAACCATCACCAATTATTTTATTATGTCATTAACAAAATTAAATAAATAAATAAATGTAATTTACAACTGAACAAACATAATTTTTAATATTTACCTACCTATTGAATAAAAAACGTTAATGGAAGGAAGTTGTTTGGTACATCACTGCCACCGTCCCTGGTGCGATCACACAAACATATTAGAAATCAACAAACATCATTGTATTATTGAGTAAATCTTGGTCCGCTATACACGTTACGATTTACAAGACGTTCGTAAAACGCACATCTCTCAAAATAAGGTTATTTTAAGATTTTGGATAAAAATATAATATAATGGTAATAGTGGAAATGTAGAATACATAATTGAAAGAACGATGTATACAATTGTCATTTGTCAGTAACAATACCACGGAATACTTAACATGTTAATGATCATCAGTTAGATCAGTATAATTTAAAAAATATGCAGTGATTAATAATTCTGCTGGTCGCTTTCCTAGATGTATGAAAAATAAATTACTAGATCGCGTCCCTGACTATACATTTTTATAATGTCTACTAGTTACGCCACTATAGGTATTAATACATAAAAAAAAACAACCATAGAATTTTAAACCAAAATAGTATATACTTATGTAATAGTTTAGATTAAGAAAATCTCACGATTATATTTAACTCGAACGAAGGCGTGTGTCATTCAACAACTGGTCTTTGGAAAATTTTAATCGCTTATTCTGTGGTTAATTAATTCATTTCTGCAGTAAAAAAAATTAAGACAGTTTATAGCGAATTTTTCATTTTATGTATGATTTGTAATAATCAGTCACCACGAATTAATTAATTTTAAAACTGTTCAGTCACGATTTAATTTCTACAGTACACTAGGCGATCACCAAATATGCTCTCCCTCTTTTTCTTCTTCAATAATGCAGTTAATGAAAACATGATTTTTGGAATATTTAAATATACCTAAAAGCCATGTTTTCAAATTCTATAGATTTGTGTACTTCTTAATTAAGAAGTGTCATGTAGAGAAGAAAGTGGATAACTTTAAAAAAAAAAAAAAGTTTGACTTATCAGAATCAAAATTCGAATGAGTAGCTTTTGAGTTACTTTGTGTACTAAGGATAATAGATCTATGGTAATGGGCTTAGAAGATGATGATTTGAAAATTTTAGTGATTTCTTAGTTGATTAATCTAACAACTATCAACATGAGATATTAATTTGTAAAAATGGTCCAAGTATAATAAATACTGGAATACTTTATCCAATATTACTTAATGATAATATACTTTATACTTTTGTAATAGGTACCATTTTTAAAAACTGTTATCCTTAATATAAACATTATAATAACTGCAAAACTACCCGTTTGAATTTTGAATATAATACTTAAACATAATTTTCAGAAAAAATATCCACTAAATAATTTACAGTAAAAAAAGTTTTAAAAAGCAGAAGTTTGTATTACTACAGGACACTTCTTATGTTCAACATCTTAAGCATTTGAAAATATGGTCTTAAATAAGTATATTTGAAAATTCCTAAAATCATATTATGAAGAATTGCATTATTGAAGGAAAAAGGGAGTGATCGTGTTTGGTGAATCACTCTGTATAAATGAGAATAAAATTATAGTGACGAAAAAATATTTTTTATTATTTGGCTATTTGGGTCTTAAAGATGTAGTGTTATGAAGTGCAATATTTTGTTTAGTCATTTAGTGTGTCCAAATTATAAGATATATTTTATTTTTCGTCACACATTTTTGGCACATCAGACGCATTATCTGTTAGAAACGGATTTTAGTTTAAGATTAAACATGACAACTTCTCACAAATCTATACTACGTTGACTTCTAAAAATGACTGATATCTCATAACGTTTCTTAGCTATTACTCATTCAATTTTATTTATCCTCGATTCGCACGACGCACAGTACCTAGCCAAAAACTGACGCATAATAATATTATTATTTTATGAAAAAAACACATGCACCCACATCATTATATTTATGTGTGTAAATACTTTTTTTTTTTTTAAGTTACCAGCCGAGCGTTAAAACAAATAAAATAATGAATGCGCATATGATGTACAATTCTTTTAATTTTGAACACTGATAATATTTTGTACAGGCATACTTAATTGACCGAAATCTCGTAATTTATTTTTTGATAAATTTTAAATGACGTTTTAATTAATTAATTAATTTTTTGTTTATTTAAATATTTTTTGAGAGAGCCAGCCAGGTTTTCGAAGCAACCAATCAAAACATAGCCAGACATTAAACATGGCGAGAAATCCAAAATAAACAAAGTAACGACTTAGAACAAATCAATGATCGTGAATTCGTAAATCATATTATAGTATTTTACGATCGATTTAAATTTATTAGTAGTGTACAAAATATTTTTATTATAAAAATACAATAGGTATACAATAATTTCTTACGTATCCTAGGTACCTCATACGCATTAGTATGGTGTATAAACAGTGCCCAACAATTCCCAATTAGTTTTTCCGGAGGTGCCCTGGTGTGAATGCACGAAAAATATAAATATAAAATAAACCCTAATTTTATTATTTTTGTTGATAATCAATTTTTATAATTTTATTTAACACAAATCAGTATGTGTAAGCAGCCAACCTAAAATGAATACATTTTTATACTTACATAAGAAATGATGAAAACTATTTTTAAAAGACAATAATTATTTTAAACATGACGTATATTTTAACATTGTAACTAATCAGATGTAAATGGCTGCTAATGTCAGTCTTAATTATTGACTACTGGAGTCGGAGGTTAGGTTCTGCGTATTGAGACAGTTGCGGAATTTGGTTGTACGTAGTTGCAGTGTAAGCCGAAAATCGTAATACACATTTTTATAAGATTCAATTTGAAAGTAACTAAACTCCAAACAACTATGACAATAAATTTTAAATAATTTCTTTTGAGAAAGTGCCCATGGAAAGCACCTATGGAAAGTGCCAACGGAAAGTGCTTGTGGTGCCCTTGGCGCACAGCAGTGCACAGTTTGGGAACCGCTGCTCTACGCCGATATCAAAGGACAAAGATACAAACCGAACATCAAAATATTATAGTGTGTTGTGGTGACTGGTGAGTATAGGTAGTGTATCTATTACATTAAATTACCGTTAAAATTCATATTATATTATCGTGGAACTCGTATTATCATATTATTATATGTATAGCACGACCAAATAAAGTACCTAATCTATGTTATGTAAATTACCTTTTTTTTACCATTACATACAATATAGTTAGGTATATGAACTGTTAGATAAACATTTTTTTTTTGAACCATTCATTTTCTTCGAAATATAACCTTCAGAATCTAACATAAATATTTTAAAATGTAATACGATACAGCTAGGTATACAGCTTTTTACAATTATAGGCAAATTTATACATTTGATTCAAATTTACTGTTCCATATATTATATAATATACATGTATAATGTATACGTATATTATTACAATTTATTTAGATATGTAGGTACTTTTCTTAAATCTGAAATGTCTACCCATAACTATCATAGCTACGATTAGTATGTTTGACGAAGTACGTAAAGTACTATACGTCTATACGTCTATACGGCTTATGAATGTATAATATATAATATATTCATCAATGATAACAATAAAAACCAAATAAAGTACACGTCAACATTATTGGATTTGAATATATTTTGAAATAATACGAAGGTAAATGTTCAAAATTCAGTTTTCTGACATGTTCCAGATTAGTTTAAGTGGATAAAAAAAAAATAGTAATTTTACTTTAAACAATGCATACCTGGTTATAAAAATATAAATTTTTATTTTTTATTCAGTGTACCTACATTTTTTTTATAAATTCTGCCGGTCGTTTTTTCTAATACCTATCTAGTTGGTATATTCCAGTACTTTTTTCTCTATGAAAGTATTTTTAGCTACCTTGGTCACCAATATACTCCCGTTGTCGGTATTTTAGAATATACATTAAAACGGCAGGAACCCAATATCGTAGTTTGGGAGGGGTGGCAAGGTGAGCATTTGTTCCGGTCTGATTTTAAAATATGACCTATCGGTGCCCTGCAGTTATTTTTGATTAAGCATTATTATATTTTATGAGAGCAACAACATGCCTATACGTATAGAAAAATATTATATTGTGTAGGTAATAAGAAATTATTGTTACAATGATAAATTAGTAATTAGTAATTAAAAAAGACACGCTAATTAAGAAAGTCACGGAGAGCAAAATAACAGGGAAAAGACCAAGAGGCAGACCCCGGCAGAGGTGGTACGATAGAGTAGGAAAAGACCTAAAGAAGATTAACCCATTGCTAGATATGGGAGTGCCGAGTGGCATCGGATAGGGAGAAGTGGAAAGGCATTTTAGAAGCGGCGATGGTCCTCAATGGACCGCTATAAGCCTAAAAAGAAGAAGAAGATACACTTATAAAATTCAGACAAATGCAGTGAAGTGCACGAAAGTTGGAATACTATGTAGTATATATGTGTATATTTTATGAAGAAAATGGAACATAATATATTATCAAAATGTGCTTTTTTAAGTTACCCATTTGGGCCGGTCAAAACTTTGGCCCCCCTCTATGAAAAATTGAAAGACGCTACTGCAGCAAGCTGGTAAGCCACGTCATCGCAATCTATAAAAAAATTAACATAATAATAATAGTATGGTACATTTTTTAGGACCAGCAAACATCGGTCAGTATTACCAGCTATAATATATATATTCAATATGTCACTACGGCCTATACGATGTCTCTATATAAATAGTGTCGACTCTTCGACAAAACTAGCATGTTATATTATACAACAAGGTAATACTATATTTTAAGCTACGAAACTGCCGGACGTACACTTTGTTATACTATGCGTTACTAAGGACGAAGACTACATATTAATATGTGGGTAACGACATCCTCTCAAGTAGGAATAGTTATGTTATAA